CTGGGGTGGCACAGAGTGGGGGGACACCTTTGATCCCACAAACTGATGTCCCCAGGAGGGTGGAGGACCTGCAGCAGCCAGGGGTGGTGGGATGGGAGGCTGGAAACTGCCATGTCCCTGGCCCCATGCTGTTTTTTTCGAAGCCCCCTTGCTCCAGGGATGGCTGAGGATGGATTCTTGGTGCCCTTCCCCGTGGACAGATCCTGTGTGCCCCCAACCATGGGTCGGGCATGGCCCCAGAGGGCCCCATCTCACCCCAGTGGTGGGTGGACACGGTGACCTCGTTGCAGGTTTTCTTCTGGATTGGGAAAGGAGCCAATGAGTCGGAGAAGGAGGCAGCGGCGGTGATGGCGCAGGAATACCTGCAGAGCCACCCCAGCGGGCGCAGCCTTGACACCCCCATCATCGTGGTGAAGCAGGGCCACGAGCCCCCCACCTTCACTGGCTGGTTCCTGGCCTGGGACCCTCTCAACTGGGCTGTGAGTCGTGGAGGGGGCTGGAAAGACCAGGGGAGCCCTTCGCAGATGGGACCAGATGTGGATCTGGCCCCAGCCAGCATCTCCAGGGTGCAGGCAGCGGTTTGCCCGATCCCTGCCCGTGCCGAGGGGCTGAGCGCTTTTGTCCCCTTCCCAGGACAAGAAATCCTACGAGGCGCTGAAAGCCGAGCTGGGGGACGAGACCAGCCTGGGGCAGCTCACCTCAGTAAGTGGCACAGGGAGAGGGGGCGGCCAGGGCGGGAGGGGGGCACAGAAAGCCCCTCCGTCCCCTTGGCAGGCGGCAGGAGGAGCTGCAAGGACATGTCCTCCGCTGAGGGGACACCTGGAGCCAGCCTGGTGCCTCCATCCCTGGGGCAGCCCCTGATGGGACCCTGTCCCCCTGCCCCATCCAGGTGCTCACGTCCAGGCAAGAGGTCTTCACCACCACCACCACCACCCTCCTCCCCGACAAACTGGAGACCTTCCCGCTGCATGTGCTGGTGAACACCTCGGCCGAGGACCTGCCGCAGGGCGTCGATCCCAGCAGGAAGGAGGTGAGACGAAGCCGGGGGGCTGCTGGGGGGGACCGGGGGAAGCCGCCCGGCTTTAGCTCAGCCTCCTCTCTCCTCCTCCAGTACCACCTCTCCGACAAGGACTTCCAGGCTGTTTTCGGCATGACCCGCTCCGCCTTGGGCAACCTGCCCTTGTGGAAACAACAGAAGCTCAAGAAGGACAAAGGACTCTTCTAGGGCGGGAGCCTGCGCACAGGGACAACCCCAGCTCGCTGTTTTTATTAAATAAAATGGAGCTGGAGAGTGGGGCTGCGTCTTTTCCCTTCACCCCTGGGCTCAGCCCAGGCGTGGGGCTTATTTGGCAAAGAGGTGGCACACGGGGGGACACAGGTCTTGACCAGGCACCGAGGCACTGCAGGGAAGGACCCCCAGCTCCTTTTCCCTGGGTCCTTCCCTTGCCCCCGCCGTGCTCAGAGGTGATGCAGAAGCTGCCCACACCGCGCTGGGCACCCCCGGGCTCCCCCATCCCACCCCGGCAGCCGCAGCTCAGGGCTAAAGGTCTGGTATACAGCTGGAGCCGCTCCCTCCGTTATCGCGCCAACCTCAGTAAATACGTGCGGTACCAAAGGTAAAAGCAACAAGCCAGAGGCTGACGGGGTGGCACGTGTGTGGGGACAGACACCGGGGAGCGCTTGTCCTCGCCCCGGGAGGGGAGGAGGGCATCTCCCTCCCGCCTGGGAGCCACGGGGACCCGGGCAACTGAGCAAAGTCCCAATGTTGGACGGGGGGCAGAGGCGCGGCGCCCATCGGCTGCGGCATCCGAGAGGCAGCAGCCCAGGCAGCGTGGAAATAAGATCCCAAATCAAGAGAGGATTAATAAAGAGGTTTTAATTTCACAAAAAAAAAAAAAAAAATCTATCTACACATCATTTAAAAAGGGGCAGGGGAACCCAAGAGCAAAAACTGTAAAGAATAGAGAGGAACAGGTCTGCTAAAACACAGAGAAAAGTGCTGCTCCACATCAACAGTGTAAAGAACCAGAAAGTCGGGGTGCAGGCAGAAACCGGCAGCGGCCACCCCGTGGCAGGCAAGGCTGGAGTCCAGCAGCAGAGCTGCAGGGACAGCAGCTGCCAGGGGTCCTGCACCCCTTTCTCTCTCTTTGGCGGGCGATTACAGGGATAATTCGCTCCATTAAAAAGAAAACAAAGCAGATGAGTTATTCCCAGCCCCCTCCCAAGCACGGTGATCCCCACGTGCCCCGTGCCAGGGTGAGCAGCAGCAGGAAGCACCGGGCTGGCCACCAGCCCTTCCTCGGGATGCGGGATGGGAAGGAAGATGCACGGGCGATGATTATCTGTGCTGCACGGAGCAGGAGGTGGAAGGCGATGCCACCGGCGTCTGAGCCCCGCTCCTCCTCCTCCTGCTTAGCTCCTCATATCGGTCTCAGGCTGCCGCTCCGGTCGGGAAACCAGTCCTTGCTTTGCAAAGGCTCTTTGTGCAGCCCCGCTGGCCGGGGCTCCCCGGGGACCCGCGCACACAAGCTCCAGTTCATTGACACGAACGGTTTTGCACCTCTCGGAGTAGGGGAGTAAATCGCAGTCAAACAACGAACGGGCGAGAGGAAGGGCAAGATGGGATTTCCTTGCTTTTATGTGCTGAATCATGCTTGGACTAAATCGGGCTGATTCAGGAGCAGGTAAATGTTTAACCACGACTCTGTACATCTGAGAAGGAGCCTGTGGGCGTTCAGGGACCGAAACTGAACTTCTCCACCTACCTATACCCCAGGATGGGTATCCCACCTGGAAGGGACGACCTTACTGAACTTGCTGCTGCGACAGCGTGAGCGGTGGGAACGCCGCAGCTGGTGGGCAGCACGCCCCTTGGGGATTACACACCCGCCTTCCTCCCCGCTGCTCTCCGACAGCGAGAAAGCTGGCTTCTGCGAGGAAGGGGCTCTGCCGACACTCCTGCCAGGGCGAAGGTGCAACTGAGCTGCCGTATGCCAAACAAAAAAGCTTAAATTAATTAATAGATGTATGCAAATTCTTAATGGCTAGGATAATAAGCAAGACCTTTTCATAAAACAAGGAACGCTGGTTTCAAGCATCAGCTGTCACACCTTGACCCAAACAACAGCTGGTTTTAAACAAAACTTACTGCACTGAAAAGTCAGGCAATGTTTGCTTTTATTATAAATTAACTGGAGTGCAGCGCCTTGCAAAAACAACCTTGCCACCCAAAAAAGCAGAGCTGACTTCTGATGCTACAGGAATACCGGTTATTTACAGCACTAGTGTAGGATGCGCCTGGGGAAAACAGGTTTGCCCTCTGGACGGAGCAGTCCCTTCATCACATTCGCAGGGGCCATCAGTTCAAAGGACAACTCCCACGTCACCGCCTCTTCCCATCGCCCAGAATTCTACCAAAATTAGTATCGACAATAGAAAAGTATAATGCTTTGTAATAAATTAACATATACACCCACTCGGGCTGCATCTTACAAGATAAATGCTCTGTCATGTTTACAACCAAATGTTCGCTCCTAGCTCGGAAACCAGAAAGATGTCACCCTGACCAGGTCCACCAGGTTCCTCCGACACGCGGACTGAAAGGTCAGTCAGTCTTTTCACCACGCCGGGGTCCCCGCTGAGGACCACCGTCGGCTGTCGCTCCCTGCGGCGCACAGAGGTGAGAAGAGGCCACTGAGGTAGTGTCCCCGTGCCAGCCCGCTAGGATAAACTCTAGTGTGGAAGTGCCCATGAAAGAGGTGCCTGCTGTCTCCTAAATCAATGGTTTTGTCTGCTTTGCTTCAGCTGATTTATTCCTGAGAAACTCCTAACAATAGTTTAAAAAACCCAGAAACTATCTCGACAGCAAAAAAGGTGGGGTTTTTTTTTCCGTTTTGTTTTTTTAAAAAGTATTTCACCTCTAAAACTCAAGCTGCAAAAATCAGAACTAGAGGCCAAAATAAGAGCAACTACTCTGCTTAACAGCAACAACTTCTCTGAAATGAGTAAATGCCAGCGAAAGGAAACATCTGCCCCTGCTAAATAAGTGTGAAGGTGCTGAAAAAATGAAGTCACTAGGCTCTTCCCCCCCTGCTGAAACGAGCCATAAAAGGAGCATCATGTCTCTAAATCCAATAAAATGCAACACTTCTTCCTAACTGTGTTCTGTTTACGCTGAACATGGGCTTTCTGAAAGCTTTCCACCTGGTTTAGTTTCACAGTTTGAGCGCTCTGCACTCCTCAGAAAGGAGAACAGAGGCATAGCTGCAGTAAAAACCCTCTTACCCTGGGATACGAGACCACCAAGGCAAGACCATGGTTCTCAGTCAAAGAGCAACTCAAGTGCCAAGCGCTATCCTGCAGACCCTGCCTTTTCCCACCGTTCCCGATTCACGATGACCCAGCGCAGAAGGGGTAACGCTAGAATGCTCTTTC